GAGAGGGAGATGGCAGGGGGGGAGTGCTTCCTGGAGGAGGTAGACTTGAGCAGTGGCCTGAAGGACAGGCAGGATCTGGAATGGGGAGAGAATAAGGAGAAAGTGCTGTGGGCACAGGAGAGAGCATGAATAAAGGGGCAGAGATGGGTTTCCTCTGTTTTGTTCATGCCTGGTTGGCAACACCCAGCAGGTCTTAGTACACAATAATCACTCAGCAAATATTTCTGAAGTTTGGGGTAGATGGATGGGCACATTGTGTCAAGAGATATGATAATCTTATTAAGAAGACTTCTGAGCACCTACCAAGTGCCAGGCCCAGGGCTGGGTGCTGTGGATGCGAAGCTGACTGACCGCGTCTGACCCCAGGAGCTCCCCGTGAGTGGGGGAGCTGGATGCAGCAGCACATGTCTACAGCAAGGTGAAAGGAACAACAGGGGCTCATCCAAGTGCATGGAAGCGCGGGTGGAGAGGGTCAGGTACTCTTCCTGGTGAAAGAGGAGGAAGAGGAAATTGCTCCACAGAGGCCCTTAAGAAAGTCTGAGGACACAGAGGAAAAGTCTGGTTAGTTTTCAGTGTGGGGGGAAAGGCTTGAAGGATGGCATCCAGGTCAGAGCAGGGAGGCGGTGGTGCCATTGCTGACATATGGAGCACTGGATGAGAGCAGGAGTGCAGGGGACCATGCACAGTTGTGTCAGTTTGCATTATGAGGGTCTGATGAGCAGCTGAACCATGACCTGGAGCTCAGGAGAGGGCCTGGGACTGAAGCTCAAGAAGGAGCGAGGTCCTTGAGGAGGAAGGAGGATGAGAGGAGAAGAGGTCAGAGTGGGCTCAGGTTCTACAGGGGCCACCCCGGGTCCCCATGGGCTCACCTGACTAGGTTTAGCTTTCATAGAGCAACAGCAGTGTCACTGCTTCCTCCTTATCCTCTAGGGAAGCCTGTTGTCCCCTCATTCTTACAGCTGGCTTAGAAGAGGGGAGCAGCTCCCCAGGATACACGTGCACCAGGCTCTACCTTGCTGAATCTGTCCCCCTCCTCTTCCAGGCATCTTCTCTGCCTTGCCTCTCCCCCTATTGCATGTGTTTCCTCTTGAGAAGTCTTGGGAGAAATACAATCCTCTTTGGCCCTTAGTCAAAGAGGTTTAAGCCTCAAAGGACACAGCCAAGCTTTGAGCTGACTCACACCTGTCCTGGATCCTGGAGTTGCTATGGCAACAGGTGACAATGGCCTATATTCTCCTAATAATGGGGGCAGGGATTCACCCCCTGTTCCCATTGGTCTCTGCCACTTGGAAGTCAGCTTAAGGCCTGGAATGTGGCTTAGACAAATCCTGTTACCCTTGTTCTCTCCCTTGAGTAGAAGGAGAGGCCTGGGCATCTGACCTGGAAGAGCCCCATCCTGCGTCCTGGTCAGGGATGTGCCCATGGAACATAGGCTCTCTTTGCCTCAGTCTCAGCAGAGGTCTGAGGGCCAAGAGGGAAACAATGATGAGATGTGACTGAGTAAAGCAGGAGAGGGTTGGAGCTAGACTTTAGGAAGAACTTCCCAGCATTGAGTGTTCTTAGATAGGAGACCAATTAATCTTGTATTTATGGAGGAGGAAAGGGCAGTGCTGGGGGGATATGGGCCTCATCCCACAGGTTGGCCATTCTCTGCACTCCTCCACAACCAGGAGGTTTGTATGGAGCACCTCCTGGGCACCCACTGTGGCACCTTAAGCCAGGGCCCCAGGGATGGTTCAAGGCAGGTTTCATCTGTCTGTCCCCCCAGCGGCTGCAAAGCAGCTACCCTGAGGAATATCTGAGGACCCTCCTTTGCCTGAAGAAGCTGAGAAGCAGGTGAGGTTCTAGGCACACCCTCTGGGCCAGTGGGCAGGGCTGGCTAGGCAGGCTTGTTTGGGAGGCTGGCAATGGGCAGGCTTGTGGGGCAGAGATGAGGAATTGACAAAACTCTGGGTCTCAGGGCAGGGGCTTCCCCTGAGTCCCCTCCACTTCCTGGGTCTTTCTGCAGCTCCCACACATCCAAGCATGGCTTCCTGTCTCAGGCCTGGATCTGCTTCAGACACTACATCTACACTCCACAGCGAGGTATGGAGTGGGGAGCTGAGGTCCAGAGTGACAGGTGACCTCCCCCTTCCCATGCACAAAGCAGCTGCAGTGGCAGGAGCTGACACCCTCAGAACTCTGCCATCAGGAAGAACAGCCCCAAGCCCCTGGCCTGACTTGGCCTTGGTGGTCCAGGGTCCTATAATGGCCCTTTTAGGAGTGGGCTTGGAGGTAAAGGGGCTGGGCTGGGTTCCCCCTGTCTGTTGGTCCCCTATATGTGGTTATACTTGGTGGAGGACCCAGCATAGGCCTCAGAAAAGGTTTTCCAAGTTGCTGAGTAACTGTTTAGTCCTCCCTCCTAAGGCAAAGGCTAGGCCAGGCCCTGGGATGGCACACAAGATGCCTGGGGCACTGAGCTATGTGCACAGCAAGTACTCAACAAAGGAGAACTGCATCACTTCTTGGCCTTTTGGCTAAGATCAAGTGTAGTATCTGTTCTTATCCGTTAACAAAGGAGAACTGGGCCAGAGCAGTAAGTCATAGCCCTGATCCTGAACCACTGGGATCAAACTGGAGACATGAGACAAGTCAGGAGCCTTGTCTCTGTGAGGAGCTCTGCAGAGACTGCCATGATCCAGGAAGCACTCAGGGCAGAATTGTGG